GTCTGAACAGTTTCTTTGATAATAAATTCAATCTGTGCTCAACTTTTTAAACAGTAAGCAATGACACTATCATTTTTTCCCTAGTACTTTACAAATATTTTATTTCTAACTACTTTTTAGTGTTCAAGACCTTGGCCCTACAGGAAAAAAAAAATTGTTTTCTGTTTTGGGGGCAGGGTGTGTGTGTGTGTGTGTGTGTGTGTGTGTGTGTGTGTGGTGGTGTTATTGTTTTGTTGTTTTTCTTTGCTTTCATTTCAAACAACTACTCTCTCTTCCCTGTGAAACAGACATCTCATTTTAATTTCAGTATTTCTCTTATCTTCATTCAGGAATTCTTTAATTTCATAAACGAAGTCCTTTTATGTACTCTCCTTTTAATTTTCAAGTAATCAAAACCACCACTCTTGTCAATCTACCAGAAAATTCATTCATTAGTCTTTTCTCTCAATTCCAAGTAAATGTGAATTACCTTGTGAAGTATTGTCACTGTCACTGTAATCTATTACCACTGTAGAAATGAATCATTTCCTTTTAGGTTTTCTCTCTATGTTCCTTTTCAATCTACCAGTGGAGAATAATTACCATCACTTTATATTTCTAGAGTACTTTATTTAAATCTCTCATTAAGCTCCTAATACCTGTGATCCAGCATTATAATTATTGAATCCAAGCTCCTAGCACATGGTTTGAACATAATAAGCATTTATTTCATGTTCATTGAATTGAATTGCCTCTTTGAAATGATTATTAGTGATTCAGCCACTTACATTTCTTGGCCACATTGTGCCAACCACTCCGCCATAGAACAGTGGTGCTCCCACAGTGGACTTGCAGGCGTAAACAAAACAAGGATGTTCATTGACCTCACATAGCTGAGTGGGCTTCTACTCTATGCCTGTCTTTATTCAAAGTATTATTGCAATTTTGATAAGTCACTTAAATAATTAAAAGAATTGTATCGGGGATTATACAGTTCAATTTTGCTTCTGCCAAAAATGCTCCGCTCTCTTTCTTTCTTTTTTTTTTTTGAGACAGAGTCTCACTCAATTGCCAGGCTGGAGTGCAGTGGCGTGATCTTGGCTCATTGCAACTTCCACCTCATGGGTTCAAGCAATTCTCCTGCCTCAGTCTCCAGAGTAGCTGGGATTACAGGCACCCGCCACTACGCCCAGCAAACTTTTTTTATTTTTAGTAGAGACGCGGTTTCACCATGTTGGCCACGCTGATATCAAACTTCTGACCTCGCGATTCGCCCACCTCGGCCTCCCAAAGTGCTGAGATTACAGGCATGAGCCACCACGCCCAGTCATCCCACTCTATTTCTAGTCTTTTCTTTGTAGCTAGGACTGGTCGTATGGTACAATTCTAGATAGGAAATATAAGTTGATAGATGCAGGGGAGAGTCTATACATTTCTTGGGGAAAAAAAAAAGCAGTTTTTTGACACCATTCCTTTACTCCATCACCAGGCTTGAACAAAGATGCAATACCTGGAGTTGTGGCAGATAATCTAGTAAAGTGGAGAAAAGGAGACAAAACTCTCAGGGCGGCTGGCCCTGTCAGCTGGAGTGCCGAACCAATGCCAAGGGTGACCAGCTTCTGACTTCTAGTTATGCTACAAAACTAAACCCTTGCATGCTTATGCTGCTCTTTCTTGAAGCTCATTCCTCTTTCACAGAAAGGCACTCTTTTCCTGTTTTCTGAAAGAAAAGAAAAGAAAAAAGTGACTCAGAGCAACTAATGTGCCCAAGGGCAAGCATTTGTTATGGTGTCAGCAAAGCTTAAGAAATGCAGTTTGACTTCTCCACAAACCTCTATTCAAGTATTCTGGATGATAAGACTGGTAATCTAAACACTGTGTATACATGTCTACCCGTTGTAATTTTTGCAGGCAATTGACATTATAATCACTCTTACTAATCAGTCTTATCTTTAAATCTTTCACTTGTAATATTATTATATTTTATTTCTTGCGAATTTTTGAAATAATGTGGCTAAGCAATGAGTATTAGAAATGAATTTCTTTCACTTTGCATACCGTTTGTCCTAGTTAAAATAAAGGCAAAGTGGAAACCTGACCCACTAATGGAAAATCATGATGCTTGTTCTGGAAACTTCCCTTTCAAATAGCAAAAACCAATGTCTTAAAACAAAGGGTTGACATAACTCCGTAGATAAGGCCTTGCTATACAAAATACTGTGCACTAATTTATCTGCGGCCAAAATGTTGGTTTTCCCTCTTGAAAATGCTGCCCCAAATTCCAATCGCCTGAAAAACAATTAACCTGTCAAGTTTAAAGCTTTTCGTTCATAATTTGGACTGTATCCTGCCATTGATATTTATTTTAATCTTCTATTGATTTCTGTGGGAATTCTTCATGTAGAATGAAGGCAGGATATAGCCCTAAAGGAATTTCTGTAAGAAGGTTCCCACTTTCATCTCTTTGTGTTTGATTTTTATTAAGTTTAGGACATGACGTTGTACATCTAAAAATAGGTCTACAGTCTAAAACCGTGACAAAGTCTTCTATTTTTTTTTTTTTTTTTTGCATTCAGGCTGAAAGGTCAATGAGAATGGTAAAGTCTCACAGGGAAGAATTATATCATAAATGATTTTTAACCCTATGTTTTTGTTGCCTTTTCTATAAAAAGGAAAGTCATTGTATTACTGAAAAAAAATGTCTTTTTTACTTCCCCAAATGCCTGTGTACCAGGAAATTCATTTAAAAAAAAAAATGCCCATTCAAACCATGTTTAAAGTTTCTTTTAAGACACTGGATATCACATAATACAGTCATTTAAAATTATAGTAATGCTGACTATGAAATTCTGTGGATCTTGGAAACTTCTTTGGGAGGCTGTTAAGTTTAAAAAGGCAAAACTGAAAATTATGTGTACACATATTTTTCTACTGGGGAAGAACTGTCCTGACTCCATTCTTAGAAACTGCGCGCCAGCCTCATCATTGTATTTCATTACCTGAATTAGTTGGGAACTTTGTGTGGCAGAGGTGGAACTCAGTCTCTCAGGTGCTTTTTCATAAAGAGTCCATTTGAGGGGTGTGGTTGATGCACAGCTCTTGAGCCAAGGCCACACTTTTTCAGGACGGCCTCAGGTGATGACTGAGCAGAGGCTGAGGTACGAAGGCTTCTCATTTCTTCCCAACTCAGAACCTCTCTGACAGGTCGACCTTGCCCTGGAGCTCCCCATTGGTCTGGCAAAGATTTTGTCCTATCTACCTCTAACAGTTCCTCCCACACAATCCAGCTTCCTTCCTTTACCTTTCACAAAAAACTTTTTCCAGTTTTTTATCTCTGGCCCAGTATATGTTTCCCAGAGAACACAACTGACACCAATAGCAGTCCAAGAAATTAGTCAGTAAAGATGCGGCTCTAGGACTGAATTGCTGGCCGCCCCTCTAATCACGAAGACACCATTCCATGCGGTAGGTGAGTCACGAAAACTCAGTCCCTGGCACAAGGAAGCAGTGTCATTTCTAGCCATTCACTGGCAGCCACTTGGGAAACTGGTCTTATAGAAGGAAATACTTTGGTGCTTCTAAAAGTACAGAAACAATGCATAGAGAGTGGAACTCACTTGCTGTCATTAAGTCATATCAATGCCTTTCCTAATGAAAACTTAATGGCCCTTAATAAACAATTGAAATCCAAGTGTAAAGGGCAGACTGCCTCCTTTGTAGCAGAAAAGAAGTCCTTCTTCTATGTTGGGAGAGTCAAAAAAGTTTAAGACAAAACTTAGGATGTAGAATTATAGCAAGTAATCTTTAAAGACAACTGAAGGCTCAGCTGAAGCCAATTTATTCTGTCAACCTCGGGACCTTGGCTGTGGACCGTGACATGTGCATTGTGGAAATGTTGGTAGGTGCCCCTTAAGATTTTGGTTCCCCAGGCTCTCTTTTTTTAAAAAATTAATAAACTTTATTTTTTTAGAGTTGTTTTGGACTCACAGCAAAATTGAGCAGTCACTACAAAGTTCCCATATACCAACTGTCCCCATACATGTGCAATGTCCTTCCCTATAGGGGACCCACTGTTAGGAGTGGAAGCATGTAAGGTTCAAGTAATAAATGAAGCTGCGGACAAAATCCAGGTTACAGCGGGACTGCTTGATCTCGCTTGGTATATAGATCTCCACAATGGTCTTTTTCAAAGTTCACAAATGTATGATTATGATTGACTTACTTGAAAATTGGGCTCTTGGCCTGTATGGTCATTGTCCCCCTCCAAGGACGGCAATTAAATAGAAAATATTATATGCCAGAAAGGATGACAAAGATTAATAACACTCTTAAAGATCTGAATAGGCTGGGCACAGTGGCTCATGCCTATAATCCCAGCACCTGGGGAGGCTGAGGCAGAAGGAACACTTGAGCACAGTCTGGGTGACAGAGCAACACCCTGTCTGGGAAAAAAAAAAAAAAAAGTTTCTAAATAATAGAGTGTTTGTGGTGTGTCTATTTCAGCTCCATCATATTTGTGAGTCTGGCCCCTGCCAGAAGTGACTAGACTTGGAGGATGATTATAGATGACTCAACTAGCAGGCCGATCGGCTGCCATGATGGAGGTGGTATCCTTGCTAGAGCAGATAAATATGGCTGCAGGTTCATGGCATTACAGCTAGTTATTTATCTAGTTACTTCTCTTTCCCAGTCAACAAAGATAATCAGAAACCACTGGCCTTCACTTAGAAAGGAAATCAACACACATTCCCAGTTTGCCCAGGGCTTTCTTAAATATCTCGCTCTCAGTTGGGATGTAGTCTGAAGAGATCTGGACTGTCTGTGCATTCCACAAAGCATCACATTGATTCACTTTATGCGTGGCATCATGCTAATCTGGCAGAATGAGCAGGAAGGCCCTGTTAAGATTATGAAGATTCCTAGACCTGCCACTTCAGGAGGGGCTTTACAGCTCCAGTGGTCAAGGACATTCTGGAACTTTCCCTTCATAGTAGAAGGCAAATTATTGCATCTTGAGTTCTGTATCACAGAGAAGAAAGCACAATTCTTAGTAGCTCTCAAGGTTATGGAGACAACACATTCTATACAATGGGAAAACTGCTCTGTCCCATCCATGCGGTGAATGAGGACTAGGTCAGGAAGGTGTTCTGCAAGCATTGGAATAAATAACAGAAGGTACAGCTGAAGTGCCAACTCGAGGGTAATAATACTCTGTGAGGATGGGAGCCCATATCCAGGATACATTATGTAAACTGAATTAGAAAACTTTATATGGTACCATGGCCTCCAGTATGGAGAATACATCAGTTTGGGTTCAGTAGAAGCAGGAGTGAATCATCATCATTCCTAATCATCCATCAGGAGACTTTGTGTTTCCTGGCCCTGCAACTCTGGGTTCTGCAGTGTTACAGGTCCTGTTCCACAAAGGACAGAGTCTATTCTTCTAAAAAGGACGATAGCCCTAAATAAAATAAGCTTTACTAAGTGCTGGACACTACATGCACTAATCCAATTAATGCCCTAAAAACATTGAGAGATACTGATTATCATTAACCTCTAGTTAATGTGGAAACAAAAACCAGAAAGGAAACTTACTGGCTGGGTGCAGTGGCTCATGTCTGTAATCCCAGCACTTTGGGAGGCCAAGGTGGGAAGATTGCTTGAAGTCAGGAGTTCAAGACCAACCTGGGCAACATAGTGAGATCCCATCTCTACAAAAACTATTTTTTAAAAAATTAGCCAGGCATGGTAGTGCATACTTGCAGTCCTAGCTACTCAGGAGGCTAAGGTGGGAGGATCACTTGAACCCAGGAGTTCGAGGCAGCAGTGAGCTATGATTGCACCACTGCATTCCAGCTTGGGCAATAAAGCGAGACCCTGTTTCAAAAAAGGGAAGGGAAGGAAAGGGAAAGGAAGGGAAGGGAAGGGAAGGGAAGGGAAGGGAAGGGAAGGGAAGGGAAGAAACTTACCCAAGTTCACATATTTACTGAACATAAAACTCAACCACTGTATATATCAAAATTTATAACACAATGAGTCAGATAATATTGAGTTGACATTGGACAGCTATGGTCTTATGTTCCTGTGAGATCTTTGACTTAAGCATTCACTATTAGTTGATTTCTATTTCTTTCAAAACTAAGGTGATCTTTTAAAAAATTCGTTTTGAAGGGGACATACTTAGACCACATGACCCTTATAAACCTTGTGGAAGTACAACTTCCTGCACCTTTGGAGCATTTGTTTTCCAGACCATGGCATCTGGGTGTCTTGTCAAGGTAACAGGGACTCTGCTGTGTTTTCTATCTACGTGGTGTCATTAGCAAAGTGGCCAGTGTGTTGTCCTGGGTGTTCACACATAGTTACTTGACCCTGATGAATGACATGCGGACACAGAACTGGAGAGTTGAAATAACCCACTGGCAAGTGAGTGAAGATGTACTACCATCTCTCTGACATGAAAAACAAGCTTCCCATGCTACTTCCTGCTTTGGGGGACAGAACAAAGAACATTTTTCAATCAATGTATGCTTACCAAGGGCTATAGGATTTGCCCCAATGAAAGGACTACATCTTCTACAAAACTGCAATACTGGATCTCTACTTAATTACACTTCTGCTAATCACTTGTCATTCTCTGTGGTAACTCTGTCTTTCATCGCTAGCCAAACAGAGCAATATATTAACTCACCTAATGTTTTTGATGGAAACATCTACAGTCGATACTCGTTATTTGTGGTAGTTTTGTTTCATAAAGTGGCAACACTGAATTATTGGAGATTAAACAATCTCTCTTAGGGGAATATATGCATGTACATATCTAACATAGATTATAATCTTAAATTCTAGGAACAACTCAACCTGACAGATTCTGTTTTCTTTATTTTACAAAAGCAAAAACAAGGTTTAAAACTAAGAGACTTGCCTAAGACAACAGGTTGCAGAGTTGGGATTCAAACTCTCAACTAACTGTCCCCAGAGACATAGCTTCTTGCACTACTCTGCTCTGCCCCCCACCATCTCCACCAACTCTGTATGAGCTCACATAAGGAGGCAGAACATCAACTGGTAAAACCACAGCTGGGAATGCGCATGACGGGTGACTCAAAGTTTTTTGCTTCTCTGCAAATTCTTGTGTGACCATGAAAATGCTGCCAGTATTGATTTCCAAGTTACAAATAAATTTTTGTGAGTAGAAAATTTGCAATACAAACCTTTGATTAATAAAGATTGGCTGTATTTTAATTTTGCATTCAGTAACTGAAGAAATAATTATAAACTAGATTGTCACCTCTTGTCAAAATTCTATTATCATATGACCCTCATTAACCCCACTCATGTTAGACCTGTAATCACTGGAATTCTGTATCTTGGGAATTAGTAAAAAGCAAGTATTGGGTAAACCATTGTCAAACAAGTAAAGGCGAAGGATCTAATAACATATATACTAGGTCTTCTGAGACAGCATTTATTGGAGGAATGCACAGAGACAAAAGCAAGTGTATGATCATTTGTGGCCCTTTTAATTGTAGAATAATGCAGATGGACCTTTTAGGATGCAATATTTGACTCTGAGAGAATCACCCCAACCTTTGGCCTTCAAGACTTTTAAGCTGCATGATTGGAGAATTGCCAGCTCCTACCCTGGGATAATCAAAAATTAAAGGTCAAGTCTTGAATTTAAACTAGTAAAACGAAGCAAATCCTTGGCCTCCAAGTTTTTCCTCTAGTTTGATCAGGGACTTGGAATCAAGAACCTGTACCCTAAGTACACTCCCTCAGTATTCTACTGGCCTTGAATGTTTGTTATAAACACGTGGCTATAGCAGTTTCTACAGAGATTTGCAGTCAGCTTGCCTGCAAGGAAGAAATCTTAGGCACATTAAAACTAATCTTTTGACCATAAAGGTCTGAGTATTTCCCTTTTCCTTTGCATGGTCATTAAAAAAAATAAATAAATAACCCCAGAGTCCAGAGAACCTTATTTGGTTGCTGTTGCAATTTTTTTCCTTATGTCTGGACTTTTCTTCACTCAAAAGGCTTTGGAAATTGAATGAGGGGTTACCACTATTACAGTGTCCAAAGCAGATCTGTATTCACCTGACTTGTCCTTTCCTAGTTATACAAATCAAGTAGGACATTAATGGGCTCACCATCTGTTTTCATCTTAGAGATCCCGAATTGTCTATCCACCATAAAAGGTCTTGCAGATGAGAACAGACCTCTCTGATTGTGACACAGTGCCTGATGTCAATGACAACAATCACATCCATCTTGCTTTTGGTGATAGAGTGTAATCACTTGGCTTCTGTCACCCCAGGAACTTCCCTTATCCATTGAAATCAGGGAGTCATTTCAACTGCAACATCTCCTCCAGCAGCTCTAGCCCATAAACAGCCAGGAAAGATCTCTGACATGCTGGCACTGCTCTCAGCCGGATAGTTATCATGGCATTGATGAATGTTCTGTCTTCAGAGCCCTCTCTGGGTCAGAGTGAGGGTTAGGGGGAGAAGTCAACCACATATGCTAAATTTACTCCCTCACATTTTATCTCCAGTATCTTTGGATTCCTTTACTGGTATCATGCCAAAAAGCTTTTGCCTTCTCAGTTTGACTTAGCAAGAGCCACCTGAGACCATATTTTAGTCACTGAACCAAACAATTATCATTATTTCCAGCTGTTGAAGTCACATTGAACCCAGAATTCTGGCTCTCATCTAGATAAATTCAGCAAAATTTAAAATTATGTGTTTTTTTTTTTCCTTTTTGTTCTAGAAAGAACAGCTATATTCCCCAGATTTTTGCTGATATGAATTAGAAAATTATTCCAATTCTTTTGGTGGGTAAGTCATATCCTACTAGTCTTGATTTTGTAATTTCTCTCCCCTACCCTCACCCCGAGAGTACTATTAGATCTAATTTAGTTGCAGATTTGGATACAAAACACTATGATGGGGTTAACAGGTTTCCCACTGAAATGTAATTCCCTCCAGCCAGTGATACTCTGAGTCTGTAAGCAAGGCAAGAACAGCTCCTTAGAAAGTGGAAAGGGGTTACTTTAGTTGACACAGAAAGTTCACTGGAGTTAAATAACTGGGTTACTTTTACTCCTCTATGTCATCCTAAGTAACTCCATTCCAATTCTGGGAGTTCCGTTATTACCAACCATTGCCCTAACTTTTTCTTAAGTTTTCTGCTGAGGTTATAAAGTCATTTGATGTGGAAATCCACACTCCACAGCAGCATAAAGTACACTTGCTTTTCAGCTATTTCAGTTCTGCAATTGAAAAGATGAGGATTCATTTAACAGTCATAGGAAGCTCTTAATGTTCAGTCTGTCCAAGCTCATTGTGAAGAGAAGCAGCTATCCATCCCATGAACTTTAGGCTGTTCCTTGGCAGCGGCTACTCAGTCCCTTCAGCCCTTGCTGTTGGATGATATTTGATTTAGCTGTTTCCTGTGACATGCCATGACAGCTATACCCCCATACGTCAGTACTATGTGAACGCTACTGCCTCAAGCCCAGATGACCAAATCATCTATCTCAAATACCTTCCAGTTTCCTGGGAGCTTTGACTGCACCTACTGTTAATATCAATTTCTGTTCCATTAACATATTTGTATCTAAAAGAAACAGGAATCCTTATAATATTGGTTCATGGTATCTCAAATACAAGCAAACCCATGGGGAGTATAGGCTTCAGAATCATTTAATCTTACAAAACAAGGATGTCTGTAAGGTCTGAGATGATTTGTGCTTCTTCTGCTTTACACTGTGTTAGATTCATCCTAATGTGATTTCACCTCAAGGCTCTAGGAAGGATAACTGTAGCAATAAACGCAGGTCAAGTGGGAGAAACAGGGTTGCTTTCCATGACTGTGTCATGAGATAGGAATAGCTCCTGGAAGCCTCCAGCAGATTTATTTATGTCTTTTCACCATGTGAATGACTTTAAGCCTTTAATGTACATTCACAATTGTGGGTTCTGCTTAAAAATAATATTTTATATTTGAAACAACATCCCGGAGTAGGAATTTCTATCTCTTTTCTTTCTCGATTCTTTACTTTGTTATTACCACGCAGCCAGGTTACAGTAAGCCTCATTCAGGCAGGCACTTGACTTTCTAATTTTTTCCATTGTGATATTTCTAGTGTTCAGTAGGTACTCAGTAAGTACACATGGTATGGATGACAAAAACTACTGCTTGAGAATCTGGCCCTTTTATCACCCAGAAATCCCCAAAGGTGGACCATTCGAGCTGATATCTGTTATCCTCTTGATTTTAGAGTATAAAACGCTCTCATTCTCTTGGCGTAATTTTCGTTAGGTTTATGTCCTTTGCCTCTTGTCATCTGAGTGGGTTGTCAGTGGCCAAGGTTTGAATGTGAATGAAAAAGGAGTAAATAGAGACTACTTTTAGTCTACACCTTCTTATTTTGCCTCATCTGCACAAATGATTTACCTTGGCTCTCGTGTTTTTAGCAAGTGAAAAGTCAATCCTATATGGGAGGGCTATTAAGAGAAAGACTCCAAGATGTCCCAAATCCCCTGGTTCCTGCCTTGCCTGGCAATACTTCCTCCTCAAAAGGCCCTGTATACACAATTGTGGCAGAGTACGAAATATAGTATTTTTCTGTTAGCCGGGTTTTGTGCCAAAGCAGAACTCCAATGAGCTAGGTTGCATCATGTGGAAGTATTTTATTTTTTCGATGGTGGTTAGATCTAAATATTCCTCAATCAGGGAAGCTGTAATGCCTGCTCTTTTTCTCCCAAAGCTCAAACCAGAGTCTTGGAATTCGCCGTAGAATGAAATGTGAAGTCTCACCTGCCCGGATCAAAAACGGAGAATGTTTCTTCACATATGAGTCACTACCCCTAGCAAAAGTGAGTTCAATTAGTACTCCGGAATCCGAACAATCCCAACACTTGCCTTTCTTCCTTAGGGAAAAGATGAGAGTGAAGAAAATAACAGGGTTTCTGTCTATCAGAAGCCAGCACAGTTCAGCTAACAAGATCCAAGAGCTCCACACAGGATTTGAGGCTGAAGACCTAAGACAATTAAAACAAATTTTTTTGTATTGTTTCTTCCTTATATTTTTGTGCACTCAGAACAACTTTGGGCAGCCGATAGAGAGTTTAGAGGTTCAGGATGCCAGTCATATCTATTCCCTTTCTTTTTGGAGTCACATCTAATAGAAGATATACATTCCCATTAAAATGAGTGTAAAAACACATGGTCATATATGTGGAAATAGAATTAAATAGCTTAAGATAACATTTAAATGCCATGTAGTTTATCTATCTCCCTGCTTCCAAGAGAACGCCCCTCAAATCACTTTAAAAGCATTTTTACATATAATTTTTGCTACAGCTCTTCAGAAGAAGAGAGTGTTTTAGTTTAGGGTTCGGCCAGAAACAGACACTGAGAAAAGGATGAAAAGGGAAAGTTGTGGATTTGGGAGGTGATCTCAGGAAAGAACTGTAAAGCATAGAGGAATGAAACAGAAAATGCAAAGATGTTAATATGGGGTGTGCTAATAAGAAGGTTACTTCTTCAGACCTCTGGGAGACAGCATTACAATGTGGAGCAAAGGGAATGCTTACACACTCTTGGTAGATTGTAAATTATTAAGTCACTATAGAGAACTGTATGGAGGTTCCTCAAAAAATTAAAAGTAGACCCTCAATATAATCCAGCAATCCTACTGTTGGGTATACACCCACAGGAAGTGAAATCAGTATGTTGAAAAAATATTTGTACTTTCATATTTATTGCTTCACTATTCACAATAGCCAAGATATGGAATCAACCAAACAGTCTAACAATTAAAACATGAATAAAGAAAATGTGGTATATATACACAGCGGAACACTATTCAGCCACAGTAAACTGAAATCATAATGAAATACTGTCATCTGTGACAACATAGATAGAACTGAAATAAACCAGGCACTATCATACCACTTTATCGCACTTGTACATGGACTGTGAAAAAAAAATTAGTATCATAGAAACTGAGAGTAGAACAGTGGTTACCAGAGAGGTTAGGTAGGGAAGGATGAAGAGAGGTTGATCAATGGGTATAAAGTTTCAATTAGATAGAATCTGGCATTCTATTGCACAGTTGGGTAAAGATGATTAACAGTGAGGTATATTGCAACATTGCTAGAAAAGGGGCTTTTTGAATGTTCTGACCACAAAGAAATGATACATTTGATTTGATCGTTATATAACATACATGTCAAAACATCAAATTGCACCCTATAAACATGTACATTATAATACAATCATTTCTAAAATAAATTTTTTAAAAGAAATGAACATAAATGATTTTATGCTAGAGATGAGAAAGCTGGATTATTTACTCCAATCTCCTATCCATCATCACCTAGGGTCTGCTCCAGTGGCATCAGCTATCCAGACCTAGACATGCCAGAAAAAGCCTTTGGGCAGAGATTCTCATGAGACCATGGTAGGAAGGCTCCCAGATGTAGGTAGGAACTCCAATAGCTCCTGCTGCAGTATATAAACCACCTTTTGGTAAAGTTATCTCGGATTAACACTCTACCAGAAGACATCCCCCTAAGATCTAACTTAAGTCCTTTTTGATAACTTTATGAGAACATCTCCCTAAGATCTAACTTAAGTCCTTTTTGATAACTTTATAAGACTCTTAAAATGAAAGTGATGTTTTTCAGTTCCATCAATAGATATAGTAACATTTCTTTATATACAGTTCTTGAAGAATATTATAAAGTCTGTTATCCTTGAAACATATATAAACTATGTAATAAGGACCATGTTTTTCTTGCACCTATATTATTTTAAAACAGTTTTTGATAATATGCCATGTTTCTATCCCCTTTCTTGGAAAAAAAGTATTAGATAATATAAATGGAAACTTTACTATGTTTTTAGGTACTAAGTGTATCGATCATTTTAATCACTAAATCATCAGAATAATCTTGTCAAGTAGGTGCTATTACTATGCCTAGTTTACTGATGAGGAAAACAAGGAAATGAGGGGCTAATTCACTTGGCCTTGGCCACAGAGCAAGTAAAGCAGAGAACCCACCCAGAGAGGCTGGCTTCAGAGCCTACAATCTTATTCCCCAGGCTATACTGCCAATAGATGGATAGTGCTACACAGTTTGCAGCCTATTCTTTGTATCAAGTGTTCCAGTAGGAGTATTCTTTTTGTTACTCCCCAAAACTGCAAATTAGCCTTTCTGTGAATGTGGACCAAAGAGACCCATATCTTCCGCTGACCGTGAAGCTTCAGCCCTGACACCGATTGTATTTGTGCAGCTTGGTGCACAGTCATTGACCTTTTACTTGTTCCTTTTGATCTGTATTCTGTTTATATTTGCTAAGGTCGTCACCACCCAATCTCTTTCAGCTGACTTAAAAAAAAATGTTACACATTAGGTCTTTCTGTTCTGTGGTAAAAAATTAGCAAAAGGATTAGAGTCTTCTCTCACTATATTAAGTGCTCTTAGAATGCATAGTGCTGATATGTTGGCCCATTTCCTTTAGATGATAAGAGGGGTGGAATATTTACCAAATTGCTATTTCGTTCTTATGGAGAAGTCCCAGGATTACAAATGGTTTAGGAGATTCACGGGAAATAAAAAGCATTATAAATCCCCACATTCAAAGGAAGATAATTGATACAAGACACAATAACATGATCTAAAAAGTTTTGGAACTTGCATATGAAAAACAGGGATTGCATATAAAAAAAGTGTCAGCAATAATATATAGAGAGTTTCTCATCAGGGATCATGTGCTCGTTATATTTCATAAAATTTATTTACTTTTTTCTTGATCATAGTACTCATACTATATCAAAAAACAAAATTGAATGTTTGGAGTTTAATTTAAAATGTATATGATCCTATCCACTAATCTATTTCTGCATTCTAATAATAAAATTTGTAAACCTTATGGGAAGTACCAGAAGTTTCAAATTTCAAATCTTTTCACAGCATGCCTTCGAAGCATTCTAAAATACTAAACACTGTCAATATCCTTTTGTTTCCAAATGCTTTTGTTTGGCCTCCCTTTTAGACCAAAGAAGTTTATTAAAACTGATCACTTTTACTTTTTTAAAAAAATGAGAAAAGTTTGAAAGCTTTCATGGCTATGGAACAGAGTAGTAGTACAGTATTTTTCCTTTTTTGACCATTTTTTAAGCATAACTGGAATCAAATTTCTGTTCATTATAGAAAAGAAAATGTATCAAACCAATTGCAGTTTGTCTTGGGGAGAAAATCAAGTAAAATTCTGAAAATTATGGCAGCAACTGCATTTTCAAAATGAACCGTCAAATATCTAGTCAATTTCATTCACAATCTTCTGAGAAACTTTGTAATACTACATACTGCTTGATGGAGCAAGTACACGAAAGCTAGCTTTATATACTATGGTGATTGATTCTCCAAGTTGCAACCTACTGGCAGATCAATTTACACCCCAGGTTTGGTTTTGACACAATTGTCTTCGGTGTAGTTCAAGTCTTCTAAATTACCAGCAATTCTTCAGCTGTTCATTAGCTATGATTTGTATAATTCATGTTATCATAATTTTCCTTCGTTCTATTTCTAGTAAATATTTTAACTGTTTTCCATCTTAATTTTGCCACTCGTTTGAACAATTTGTTGTATTTAAAATGACAAGACCCTTAACGATGTTAGCACTGATAATTATTTCTCTGAGGTCGGCAAAGTCTGGAAGACAGTTTCACCCTCCCGAGTAACTCTTCAAATCCCAAGAAGGTCAGCAAGCCAAAGAGCATTCATCGGTACATCTGGAAGGGAACAGGAACCTCCACCCACTAGTGTTTGACAGCCATGAATGAAATAATGGGCAATAAGACAAAGGAGAAACTTGCGCGGTCATCCTCGTTACAAACCCGTGAAATCTGATAACATGATAGATTTTATAACCCTGACAAGCAAAGAACTTGAGAAGTCAGTAGAAGGAAGGCAAATGGGAACAAGGATTTACTCCCTCCTCCACTTGGAGCATCCTGTAAATATTTTGGTGTAATTTTCATACAGTGTTTAGTTTCTTTCTATACCCAGAGGGCAAGAAGATATTTGGCAATATTAGATCTTGTTCATAGCAAATATCAAAACCTCAGTAATTGATTTAGAATCTAATGACATATAGAGAAAAGGCTTTTATTTCCTCTTGATAATTCTTCTCAATAAAAATAAATTGACTCATCTATCTACCTGTCTGCATTGTTTAGCACTTTATTGCCACATTTTTATTAAGATTTGTTCCAACCAACCAACATTTTTTTCAGTTGGTTTTAGGTTTTCTGGCAGTGGGAGATAGCTTTCTTTACTTTTTTTTCCAGTTTTATTTTCTAAGACATTGCATAGTTCCAAGTCAAATTAAAAAATAAACATATTTAGAGAATTCTAGCTGCCATCCCTGCCTCTTACTCCCTGTTTTCTTCCTCCCCACATAGGTGAATATTTTTATTAGCTTTTGGATTGACTGTCTATTGTTTCTTTCTGACAATATAAGCAAAGTATACACATGCAAATATATATACACACAGATACACATAAATTGATTATATCATAAATGCTATTCTGAACTCTGCTTTTTCTCACTAACAATGCATCTTTCAATTCCACATGGCAGTATATAAAGATATCCTTTATTCCATTTTATAACTGTTTAGTACACCACTGTGTGGATGCATCATAATTTATTCAGCCATTCTCGTAATATAGATATTTGGGTTGTTTCTTGTATTTTGCCATTATAATTTATACTGCAAAGAATAGCCTGTGCATGTTATATTTTTCATTAATTTTCTGCCAGTTCTGACTTCTTTTAAAGAGATAAACACCAATTCACATGAAAACCATGTGCAATTCATCTATCAGAATGACCTCCACAAACCTAATGGAAACATTTCAGGATTGGAGGCAGGAATTTCGTGTGAAGCCACAGAAGGCCCGTCCCACATGAGAAAAGTGCAAACAATGAACCAAGTGTAGAAAAGTAACCAAACTCTGCTTGGTTTTCCTCGCTGGATAATAAACCCTGTGAAAAATGCA